GATTACCCACCATTTACACCTGATACTCCTGTGACCTACCTTTTCACCCTCTTTTCATTCAATGCAGCCACAGAGAGAGCTTCAGACGCATGCTGCCACACTGTTGCACCTTCCTCTGTGATTTTCTGGATCAACCACAAAAGCCTCCGAGTCATTCACAGATATTCAGAGGCAATATTTATTGTATGTGTTGCGTAGTGTTGTTTCAAATCCTTTTTCTATGTTTCACAAACAAGTTGCTTTTCAACATTTAAAAACACTTCAAATTTCATCTGAATTAAACAGCATTCAAAGGCTGTACAGTCCAGAAAATAACCAATCTGGCTCATTGTTGGCCCTGCTTTTTTACCCGCAGAGAGGTTTGTGTAAGAGTGTCTTTACCTCACTCGCACAGTGCTGAAGGATTCCAGAGGGCCTTACTACTCCTTGACTATAGTCATCAAAATTCATTAATACTCATTGATTTCTGCACTGCACTTCACAGTAATTGTGTGTCCCAAAGCTAATTCAGCAGGTCTCAGGTCAGGGTCAGGCTGTCCTATTTACTTCCCCAGGGCAATATTGTCTTAACTAGCACCACTTAATGACTTCTGACTGACATCTCCTTGCCGAGTAGAAACCAAAGCAGCCTGACATTGCTTTCGCTGTCAATTCATTTCTTATTTTTCCGTGTTAAAATGTGGTTCCGCGCAGAATAATCTGTAGGACAAGCTGCCCTTTGGAATTCTCTCGCTCCAATAACATGTCTTAACCTTTCTCCCTCAGCAGAATTTAAACTGCTACACATCTGGTTTTCTCACATCCCACTTGTCCTCCTTTGTAATTTGAATGTTTAAACAAAAATGATGACTTTTTGAGAAAGTAGAACCTAAGGCCTGACATCTCTTCCTTACAGTTTATACAAACTGAACATGCCTACAAAGAACATTTGAATTGAAGTACTTTCTTGTTTATGGAAAGACAGCTATTGTAAAACAAGATAAGCATTTTCAAAATTAAATAGAGATTTATGAAGATGCGTGAATCCAAACCCCAAAACGGTCAATTTAAAAGGTGAATAAGTCTTTCCTTGGTAAAAGATACACAACAAATCCTCAAAATTAATAAAAGTAAATTCATGCTATCTAGAACTGCACATAAAAGCGTTTTCTGATTTGACACCATGATATGCCATTTGACTTTGTCCTTATGTGGCCCTTTCTGAAATGACTGGATTTTCATGGGAGGACGGTCTCAGAGGTTGTGTTGCGGGTCAAGCCAGAATGAAAGCTGCCCGGGCGACAACTTTTTCCATCACATAAATCAGAAGCCTTGATCAGTGTCCTACTTTAGTGACTTCATCTGAAGCATTAGTAGCCTGATAATCAGACTGAAAGGCCATTTACTTTAATTCATTCAAACTGGTTCAAATGTTTACCTTAAACTGTACCCCATTACTTGGTATGGTGGTTTAAGAGTTTCACATTAGGGACCTATTATGTGCTTGTTACTGGACATACGTGACTAGAATTGCTGTAAACATCTGGTTAACCTTGTATTCTTCCTATTGAGACACAGCTGAAAGCTATTTTTTACCTTCAATGACCTTTGTGTTACGCCGTAATGAGGCCATTGTATGTTGAATATAAATACATTGCGTAGCCAGGTGAGGGGTGTAATACTAAACGTTAAAACAACTACCCAGAGATAAAAGTAGAACATATACGAGAAAGAAAATTGGGATAAAGATTAACATTAAAGGTGACCTATCATGCTATATTTGAACAATA